TGTGAGGTGTGTGTTTATTTGTACTGTGTGTGGTGGTGTTAATCTGTACTGTGTGAGGTGTGTGTTTATTTGTACTGTGTGTGGTGTGTGTTTATCTGTACTGTGTGTAGTGTGTGTTTATCTGTACTGTGTGAAGTGTGTGTTTATCTGTACTGTGTGTGGTGTGTGTTTATCTGTACTGTGTGTAGTGTGTGTTTATTTGTACTGTGTGTGGTGGTGTTTATCTGTACTGTGTGTAGTGTGTGTTTATCTGTACTGTGTGTGGTGTGTGTTTATCTGTACTGTGTGTGGTGGTGTTTATCTGTACTGTGTGTGGTGTGTGTTAATCTGTACTGTGTGAGGTGTGTGTTTATCTGTACTGTGTGAGGTGTGTGTTTATCTGTACGGTGTGTAGTGGTTGTATAGATAAGGTGGGAGACAGGATAACTCAGCATCTTTGTTGTTAACAGAATGTTGAATAGATCAAATCAGAAATTTGTTTCATGTCTTGGCATCAACCAAAATCAATTACTCAAAATATCTGAAAACTTCAATTTTAAAGAATTTTTATCAAACTTTATGTGAAGGTCACAACAACTACATTCATCTTTCATAGTCTGAATGTCAAAACAAAGTCATCATAGCTATTTATAGAATGATATAGATATAGACAAATAGTCACAAAACAAAATCAATAAAGTCACAAGTCACAAAACAGTCCAAATAGTCACAAGTCACAAAACAGTCCAAATAGTCACAAGTCACAAAACAGTCCAAATAGTCACAAGTCACAAAACAGTCCAAATAGCCACCAGTCACAAAACAGTCAAAATAGCCACAAGTCACAAAACAGTCAAAATAGCCACAAGTCACAAAACAGTCCAAATAGCCACCAGTCACAAAACAGTCAAAATAGCCACAAGTCACAAAACAGTCCAAAACGGCACATGTCACAAAACAGTCCAAATAGCCACAAGTCACAAAACAGTCCAAATAGTCACAAGTCACAAAACAGTCCAAATAGCCACCAGTCACAAAACAGTCAAAATAGCCACAAGTCACAAAACAGTCAAAATAGCCACAAGTCACAAAACAGTCCAAATAGCCACCAGTCACAAAACAGTCAAAATAGCCACAAGTCACAAAACAGTCCAAAACGGCACATGTCACAAAACAGTCCAAATAGCCACAAGTCACAAAACAGTCCAAATAGTCACAAGTCACAAAACAGTCAAAAACGTCACAAGTCACAAAACAGTCCAAATAGCCACAAGTCACAAAACAGTCCAAATAGTCACAAGTCACAAAACAGTCCAAATAGCCACCAGTCACAAAACAGTCAAAATAGCCACAAGTCACAAAACAGTCCAAAACGTCACAAGTCACAAAACAGTCCAAATAGCCACAAGTCACAAAACAGTCCAAAACGTCACAAGTCACAAAACAGTCCAAATAGCCACCAGTCACAAAACAGTCCAAATAGTCACAGTCACAAAACATTCCAGTAGTCCAGTCACAAAACAGTCAAAATAGCCACAAGTCACAAAACAGTCCAAATAGTCACAAGTCACAAAACAGTCCAAATAGCCACAAGTCACAAAACAGTCCAAATAGCCACAAGTCACAAAACAGTCCAAAACGTCACAAGTCACAAAACAGTCCACACAGTCACAAAACAGTCCAAATAGCCACCAGTCACAAAACAGTCAAAATAGCCACAAGTCACAAAACAGTCCAAAACGTCACAAGTCACAAAACAGTCCAAATAGCCACCAGTCACAAAACAGTCCAAATAGCCACCAGTCACAAAACAGTCAAAATAGCCACAAGTCACAAAACAGTCCAAAACGTCACAAGTCACAAAACAGTCCAAATAGCCACAAGTCACAAAACAGTCACAAAACAGTCCAAAACGTCACAAGTCACAAAACAGTCCAAAACGTCACAAGTCACAAAACAGTCCAAATAGCCACAAGTCACAAAACAGTCCAAAACGTCACAAGTCACAAAACAGTCCAAATAGCCACCAGTCACAAAACAGTCCAAATAGCCACCAGTCACAAAACAGTCAAAATAGCCACAAATCACAAAACAGTCCAAATAGCCACCAGTCACAAAACAGTCAAAATAGCCACAAGTCACAAAACAGTCCAAAACGTCACAAGTCACAAAACAGTCCAAATAGCCACAAGTCACAAAACAGTCCAAATAGTCACAAGTCACAAAACATTCCAAATAGTCACAAGTCACAAAACAGTCCAAATAGCCACAAGTCACAAAACAGTCCAAATAGTCACAAGTCACAAAACAATCCAAATAGCCACCAGTCACAAAACAGTCAAAATAGCCACAAGTCACAAAACAGTCCAAAACGTCACAAGTCACAAAACAGTCAAAATAGCCACAAATCACAAAACAGTCCAAATAGCCACCAGTCACAAAACAGTCAAAATAGCCACAAGTCACAAAACAGTCCAAATAGCCACAGGTCACAAAACAGTCCAAATAGCCACAGGCCACAAAACAGTCCAAATAGCCACCAGTCACAAAACAGTCAAAATAGCCACAGGTCACAGACCAGTCAAAATAGCCACAAGTCACAAAACAGTCAAAATAGCCACAAGTCACAAAACAGTCCAAATAGCCATAAGTCACAAAACAGTCCAAATAGCCACAAGTCACAAATCTCCATTTGGTATCTGTTTGATTGACAGTCGACATTGGTATTTACCTCAAGGTCATACATATATCTCTCAGTAATATGTTTTTAATGTGTTTTCAGGGTTAGGACAGATTCGAGTTATACAATGGTTTTTGATAGATTATGGGCATCGATGATTGAAATGTGGCAGAATATCAATTTAACAGTTGGTGAATTTTCAAAATAACATTTGGGACTAGGAAGGCTGTAAAAGTTTCTAGGCAAAATAAAAATATTTCTTCATTTTAAACTTAAATGTCGTAAAAATACAATGTATAATGGGAAATTGTCTGAAGGTAATTTAATAAATGTTGGCAGGGAAATTTAATCATACGAGACAAGATTACATCTGAATCAAAGTTGCTTACCCCAAAACTTAAATTGTCTTTAGGCTGCATTTCATAGCAGAAAAGCTCAGCTCTGGATATTAATGTTCCAGGTAGGTTTGGTGTGAAACTACTATTAACACCTGTGTTGTTTTGTAATTGCAACAAGATATTACTGACTGGATTGAGCCAGTTACCAGCCTTGAAGGTGGCAGATTCAAAGCCTGAAGTTTCTATAAGAGCTGAGACACATTATCATATTGATCCCATCTTAGTCAGAAACACATATGTCTACCACTTTGTATACGGAAAAAAAGGAATTAATGCCAAACGAGAAAGTAATGTGTTCTGTTTTCATGCCAAAAATGTTTACGGATGCCTGGAAAACCCATTAAATTCAGGAACTTGTGCAAACTACACAGAATAAGTCAACCTCATTTCTGGTAGGTCTCTTTTCCAGTCTGTCATAAAATGAATCACTTCTTCTATCATAATTGACATAGGTGCATCTCCATAATCTTGATGTAACAAACAATTGGATTGGTCAGTGAAACACCATTGGATGTTCTGCAGGAAAAATTACTGTTTTTGGGGGTTTTTTTGTCAGATCTTTACCACATATTCTCCTGGAAGAAATACAATTTTGTTTTAGATCTTTTACCACAAATTCTGCAGACAGAACCACAGTTCTATTTCAGATCTTTACCACAAATTCTGCAGACAGAACCAGTTTTATTTCAGATCTTTACCACAGATTCTGCAAGCTTGAACCATTATTTCAGATCTGTTACCACAGATTCTGCAAGCTTGAACCATTATTTCAGATCTGTTACCACAGATTCTGCAAGCTTGAACCATTATTTCAGATCTGTTACCACAGATTCTGCAGGCTTGAACCATTATTTCAGATCTGTTACCACAGATTCTGCAAGCTTGAACCATTATTTCAGATCTGTTACCACAGATTCTGCAGGCTTGAACCATTATTTCAGATCTGTTACCACAGATTCTGCAAGCTTGAACCATTATTTCAGATCTGTTACCACAGATTCTGCAGACTTGAACCATTATTTCAGATCTGTTACCACAGATTCTGCAGGCTTGAACCATTATTTCAGATCTGTTACCACAGATTCTGCAAGCTTGAACCATTATTTCAGATCTGTTACCACAGATTCTGCAGACAGATCTATAGTCAAGTTTCATGAATTATGATTACAACTCTTAACAAAGCTGTATACATTGGTCAAAGCTGACAGGGATGTTCCTGTCTCTCTGACATATCTAATTATTTCATCTACAAATCAAGTAAAATCACAAACATGAGTCTTGATTGTGTATTTAAATCTTGCTTTCATCTTGTTTAATATACACATTTAGTTTCTACAGAACTGAACATATACTGTTACAGTTGCTAATACCAGTGTACGTACTACATTAAAATTCGGTAGCTACAGAAATATTGGCAAAGGAATACCTGGCCAGATACTGCTGTATTAACACCGAAATAAGTACCTAACTTAAATAAGTGCTTATTACTGCTAATTACCAGCATTTCTGTATTCCTAAAAAATCACTCAGGTCATTGAGGGCACCTGCTACTATCAATGTGGCATGATCTGTTGGAGCCATTTTGTACTCTAGAAAAAAATGACATCTAATCATGAAATCTGATTTTTCCAGGGTCATTGTAATTGACTAAATACTGCCAGGGCATCAACTATCAGCTCACAAACCTGTGCTGATTCAGGTAGTTCAACAACAAGCAATATATCCTACAGATAAGGGGGAAATATCATATTTTTTAACAAATGGTAGATATTCCTCATTTTGGATTAATTATTGGGAAAATATAAATCACATGTTTTGGCTGAGGAAGCAGCTAACAGGACGAAAAGTTCACTAGTAGTTTATTATAGGGCTGTCATAATGAAATTGATGTTCTTTATCAATTAGTGATGAATGACACTAGGATTATTTTTATGTGGTTTTAGGATGAAAGGAACCTTGGTCGAAGTATGAGGGCAGCTCCACGACATGTACGGCCAGCGAGGGAAGGCTCCAGGCCAACGTCAGCCTCTAAGGACAAGGTAAGACATTTGTAAATGCTTTAGTGTTTCCAAGGTAAAATATCTATTAACACAGTAGTGTTTCTAACATAAGAAAATACATGTACATCATCATTACCTTGTTTTTTAGACACTACATTCCTAACCACTAAGACACTACATTCCTAACCACTAAGACACTAATATTCATAACCACTAAGACACTACATTCCTAACCACTAAGACACTACATTCCTAACCACTAAGACACTACATTCCTAACCACTAAGACACTTCATTCCTAACAACTAAGACACTTCATTCCTAACCACTAAGACACTTCATTCCTAGTCACTAAGACACTTCATTCCTAACCACTAAGACACTACATTCCTAACCACTAAGACACTACACTCCTAACCACTAAGACACTACATTCCTAACCACTAAGACACTACATTACTAACCACTAAGACACTACATTCCTAACCACTAAGACACTACATTCCTAACCACTAAGACACTACACTCCTAACCACTAAGACACTACATTCATAACCACTAAGACACTACATTCATAACCACTAAGACACTACATTGTTGTGTAAACAATGGTACACTGAATAGAGATATATTCCCTGCTTAAACCATTGGAATGCTAAAATTCCGTACAAAAATCTCTTATTTCCTATGCCTGAAGTCCAACTGTGGGATTTACAGGGCCCTGACAATCAGTGCTGGTTCAGGACGGTCCAGTAAGCGATTACAGAGATGTTGGTGGTAGGGAGACATTAAGACGACTGATTCATAGACTCGATGCTAATCTGTACCCAGTACATGTCACAATATATTTCCTATTGCTTCATAGCATGACAGCTGCCAATCCAAGGCTATATCGGCCTCCAATCTGTCTTTGAGGACAGAAGAATAAGGCCATACACTCTCTAATCAACAATAACTTATGCAAATAGTTGTAAAGGAGATATTTCCAGCGGTGTATTTTTAAGTGCCTCTCAAGCTTGCTGTCTATTTCACTGTAATTTTCTCTTCTCTGTTGCTTTTGTTTTATTCTGTGAATAATCAGATAAAAACAAGCTCGCAAAATGGTAGAGAGAGTCTCTATGGTATCACCTAGCTGTCTATAACAGTGACATGAATATAACAGACACATGTCTATAACAGACACCTGTCTACAACACAGACCTGTCTATAACAAACACATGTCTATAACAGACAAATGTCTATAACACAGACCTGTCTATAACATAGATCTGTCTATAACAGACACATGTCTATAACAGACACATGTATATAACACAGATCTGTCTATAACAGACACATGTCTATGACAGACACATGTCTAAAACACAGATCTGTCTATAACACAGATCTGTCTATAACAGACACATGTCTATAACAGACACATGTCTATAACACAGATCTGTCTGTAACAGACACATGTCTATGACAGACACATGTCTAAAACAGACACATGTCTATAACACAGATCTGTCTGTAACAGACACATGTCTATGACAGACACATGTCTAAAACACAGATCTGTCTGTAACACAGATCTGTCTATAACAGACACATGTCTATAACAGACACATATCTATAACACAGATCTGTCTATAACAGACACATGTCTATGACAGACACATGTTTATAACACAGATCTGTCTATAACAGACACATGTCTATGACAGACACATGTCTAAAACACAGATCTGTCTATAACACAGATCTGTCTATAACACAGATGTCTATAACAGACACATGTCTATAACACAGATCTGTCTATAACAGAAACATGTCTATGACAGACACATGTCTATAACACAGATCTGTCTATAACAGACACATTTCTATAACAGACACATGTCTATAACACAGATCTGTCTATAACAGACACATGTCTATGACAGACACATGTCTAAAACACAGATCTGTCTATAACACAGACCTGTCTATAACAGACACATGTCTATATTGGACACATGTCTATAACAGACACATGTCTCTAACACAGACACATGTCTATAACAGACACATATCTACAACAGACACATGTCTATAACACAGATTTGTCTATTACGGACACTTGTCTGTAACACAGACACATGTCTATAACACAGACCTGTCTATAACACAGATCTGTCTATAACAAACACATGTCTATAACAGAATGTCTATAACAGACACATGTCTATAGCAGACACATGTCTATAACAGACACATGTCTATATCACAGATCTGTCTATAACAGACACATGTCTATAACATAGATCTGTCTATAACAGACACATCTATAACAGACATATGACTATAACATATAACTGTCTATAACAGACACATGTCTATAGCAGACACATGTCTATAACAGACACATGTCTATAACACAGACCTGTCTATAACAGACACATGTCTATAACACAGATCTGTCTATAACAGACACATCTATAACAGACATATGACTATAACATATAACTGTCTATAACAGACACATGTCTATAGCAGACACATGTCTATAACAGACAAATGACTATAACAGACACATGTCTGTATCACAGATCTGTCTATAACAGACACATGTCTAAAACACAGATCTGTCTATAACAGACATATGTCTATAACACAGACCTGTCTATAACAGACACATGTCTATAACACAGATCTGTCTATAACAGACACATGTCTATAACATATAACTGTCTATAACAGACACCTGTCTATAACAGACACATGTCTATAACACAGACACATGTCTATACCAGACACCTGACTAAAATATCTGTACTTTTATCATGTAATACAGTATTTCTTAAGAGAAATATGTTTCTAATTTGACTATAAACATACACAGGTTTTTTTTATACTTTCTTTAAATAATGTTGCAGATTTGGTGCCGATGACAACTTTGAATGTAAGCTTCATGAGATTGAGTCGCTTGAAGCTATAAATTATATTAGCAGCTTGTTTACTGTTTATTGTTATCACTGTTTCTGAGTCTTGTACTCTTCATTCTGAAATTTTGTATCAGGGTTCCTCTTGGACCCTTGTACATGGATTAAGAGTCCATTTTGGGACTGATTGAAAATAACGAAACAGCTAGTGTTTTTAGCTTGCTTGCTTGGCTGCTATCAAGTTTGCTATAAATGACCTAGATTGATTGTGAAGGTCACATAAGTTAAATATTTTTTTAAAAATATCATTATATAACAAGGGAATTATTCATTCTAGATTTTGAATTTGATGTTTTCACACCTTCACAGTGTCCTGTCCTAAAACTTACTACATAGTAAAAGCTAAGTTAAAAACTGGTTCATCTGTGATCAGACAGCAGTGTTTCAACCCTGCATAGTTTTACTGTGATCAGACAGCAGTGTTTCAACCCTGCATAGTTTTACTGTGATCAGATAGTAGTGTTTCAACCCTGCATAGTTTTACTGTGATCAGGGATCAGTGTTTCAACCCTGTCTGGTTTTACTGTGATCAGATAGCAGTGTTTCAACCCTGTCTGGTTTTACTGTGATCAGACAGCAGTGTTTCAACCCTGTCTGGTTTTACTGTGATCAGATAGCAGTGTTTCAACCCTGTCTGGTTTTACTGTGATCAGACAGCAGTGTTTCAACCCTGCATGGTTTTACTGTGATCAGATAGCAGTGTTTCAACCCTGTATGGTTTTACTGTGATCAGATAGCAGTGTTTCAATCCTGCCAGGTTTTACTGTGATCAGATAGCAGTGTTTCAACCCTGTCTGGTTTTACTGTGATCAGATAGCAGTGTTTCAACCCTGTCTAGTTTTACTGTGATCAGATAGCAGTGTTTCAACCCTGTATGGATTTACTGTGATCAGATAGCAGTGTTTCAATCCTGCCAGGTTTTACTGTGATCAGATAGCAGTGTTTCAACCCTGTCTGGTTTTACTGTGATCAGATAGCAGTGTTTCAACCCTGTCTGGTTTTACTGTGATCAGATAGCAGTGTTTCAACCCTGCATGGTTTTACTCTGATCAGATAGCAGTGTTTCAACCCTGCATGGTTTTACTGTAATCAGAAGCAGTGTTTCAACCCTGTCTGGTTTTACTGTGATCAGGGATCAGTGTTTCAACCTTGTTTGGTTTTACTGCGATCAGATAGCAGTGTTTCAACCCTGTCTGGTTTTACTGCGATCAGATAGCAGTGTTTCAACCCTGCATAGTTTTACTGTGATCAGGGATCAGTGTTTCAACAGCAATTCAATCATACTTGGTTTATTGTGATCAGAAGCAGTGTTTCATCCCATTAGCTTTTACTGTGATCAGGCAGCAGTGTTTCAACCCTTTTTGAATTTACTATAATCAGACATGACCATTTAACTTGCAGACAATAAAATGCCTAAAGTAACAAGTTATTGTGATTGTTTACCCCCGTCAAGTGTGGTAAAAATGAACACATATTATGTAGGTTTTTTATAATAATAGATATAACATAATATATATATATGAAAAAGTTGACCTCTGTTAATTTCACCTTTGATCTCTGACAGTATTATATTTGACCTCTGTTAATTTCACCTTTGATCTCTGACAGTATTATGTTTGACCTCTGTCTATAATAACTTAGATCTCTGTCAAATATACCTTTTCTTCACTCAGTCATACTTTCAACCTTTTTTCAATATTATTGTTCACGATCAGCCAATATGACCCCTGAACTTTGTCAATAATATATTTGGCCTTTGTCCACTCCAGCATGACTCTAGCCTCACTCAGCCACTCCTTCCATTGGACAGCACTGACCAGCGTCCAGACCGAGTGTCTGAATACCTTAACTCCACCCTCTGTCCTCACCTCCGCTCTCATGATTGGTCAGTCCTTGACCGTTCACCTCTACGGCCACAGCATACTGCGGTTGGCTCAATATGTTCCCCTCAACACCCAACACAGGTACATGTAATCAACACACCACTGTATATGGCACATTCTGACCTTGGTAAACTTTTCTAGATTCTGAAAACTTCCCAAGTATTGTTCTTAGAACCACGAAAGGATGGCCGTA